TAAAAAAGTTATCAAGTGTTTCTTTTTTATATGTGGATCTGATCGGTTATCGTGAGGAATATTATCGCAGAATGTATATAATTCGTCAAATTGCGCTTTTGTTAGTGACGAAATAGACGTAAATTCATCATCTGTAATATTGCTTATATCTAATAAAAGATTTTTTAAGTAAATTTTAATACTTATATATTTCCACAATTTTTTGTTAAACTTTTAACATGTTTCGCTAAACTTTAGCTTCATCAGAAAGATTTTAGAAAAATAAAATGTAGACATAAAAGTGAAATTGACAAATATAAAAAAGGTAAAAGCTGGTCTAATTTTATGTTAATTTAAATAGGTATTACACAGTAAATAAATTTAAAAGTGGTGAATTGTTTAAATCTAATTGGTCGTTCAATAAACAGTCTAAAGTTTTAAGTTTGTTTATTTCTAAAGATTCTAGAAGATTTAATTTTATCCCTTTGTTTTCATTATGTAGTATTTGAAATTCATTATTAAAATTATGATTTGATTCTATCAGGTGATTAGCATAATTTGAATCTGTTTTCTTTTTATTGAAACTATTGTAATGTTCTTTAATTCTAGTACCAAAATTTCTACCTGTTTGTCCTATATATACTTTTGGACAATCTTTACAAGATAATTTATAAACGCCAGATTTATCACAAATTTTAGTTTTAGATTTATTATTTTTCAAGTGAAAGCCTATTGTATTGTTAGTTTTGAAAGCAACATTTATATTGTTTTTGTTAAGAAATTTGCTAATTTTCTTACTAGCTTGTCCTTGGAAAGTAATACTTTTGAAATTATTATTATTTTGTAATTTTTTAGGGTATACTAAATTAATGGCATTTTTGTATAGTTTTTTGTTTAAAATATCGTCTATTAATTTAGAAGAATAGCCATTATTGATAGCAATTTGTTTAATTAGGTTTAATTCTTTTTGGAAATTAATACTATTTATAGGAAGTGTTATTAATCGGTGTATCATACTGTTAAAAGCAGCTAATTTGTGTTGGATAGGATGACAAGATGTATTGTGTATAACTGTATCAGTATGAGTAGGTTTATGAAAGATGGAAAATTCATGTTTTTCATTTATGTTTTTGATTGTTAGATCTAGGAAATTTATTGAATTATTTAGCTCTTTTTCTTTGGTAAATTTTATGTTAGGGTGGATTTTATTAATAAAGTCTATAAAAATATCTAATTGTCTGTCTGTTCCAGTAAAACAAGTTAGAATATCGTCAACATATCTATGCCAGTAGAGGAATTTTTTAAAAATTGGATGTTTGTTAATTTTTGATTCAATAAAATCCATGAATATTTCAGATAAAATAGGACTTAGTGGATTTCCCATTATAAGTCCAATTTTGCTAGTATATATTTTATTATCAAATTCAAAATAATTTTGTCTGAGGCATTCTTTCAAAACGATAATAATTTCTTCTTTTTTAACAATGTTTATATTATTTTTAATCAAGAGTTTTTCAACAAGAATAATAACGTCTTCAATAGGTATACTTGGAAAAAGATTGGTAACATCAAATGAAATAAATTTAGAGTTTTTTGTTGAAAAACTCTTGATTAAAAATAATATAAACATTGTTAAAAAAGAAGAAATTATTATCGTTTTGAAAGAATGCCTCAGACAAAATTATTTTGAATTTGATAATAAAATATATACTAGCAAAATTGGACTTATAATGGGAAATCCACTAAGTCCTATTTTATCTGAAATATTCATGGATTTTATTGAATCAAAAATTAACAAACATCCAATTTTTAAAAAATTCCTCTACTGGCATAGATATGTTGACGATATTCTAACTTGTTTTACTGGAACAGACAGACAATTAGATATTTTTATAGACTTTATTAATAAAATCCACCCTAACATAAAATTTACCAAAGAAAAAGAGCTAAATAATTCAATAAATTTCCTAGATCTAACAATCAAAAACATAAATGAAAAACATGAATTTTCCATATTTCATAAACCTACTCATACTGATACAGTTATACACAATACATCTTGTCATCCTATCCAACACAAATTAGCTGCTTTTAACAGTATGATACACCGATTAATAACACTTCCTATAAATAGTATTAATTTCCAAAAAGAATTAAACCTAATTAAACAAATTGCTATCAATAATGGCTATTCTTCTAAATTAATAGACGATATTTTAAACAAAAAACTATACAAAAATGCCATTAATTTAGTATACCCTAAAAAATTACAAAATAATAATAATTTCAAAAGTATTACTTTCCAAGGACAAGCTAGTAAGAAAATTAGCAAATTTCTTAACAAAAACAATATAAATGTTGCTTTCAAAACTAACAATACAATAGGCTTTCACTTGAAAAATAATAAATCTAAAACTAAAATTTGTGATAAATCTGGCGTTTATAAATTATCTTGTAAAGATTGTCCAAAAGTATATATAGGACAAACAGGTAGAAATTTTGGTACTAGAATTAAAGAACATTACAATAGTTTCAATAAAAAGAAAACAGATTCAAATTATGCTAATCACCTGATAGAATCAAATCATAATTTTAATAATGAATTTCAAATACTACATAATGAAAACAAAGGGATAAAATTAAATCTTCTAGAATCTTTAGAAATAAACAAACTTAAAACTTTAGACTGTTTATTGAACGACCAATTAGATTTAAACAATTCACCACTTTTAAATTTATTTACTGTGTAATACCTATTTAAATTAACATAAAATTAGACCAGCTTTTACCTTTTTTATATTTGTCAATTTCACTTTTATGTCTACATTTTATTTTTCTAAAATCTTTCTGATGAAGCTAAAGTTTAGCGAAACATGTTAAAAGTTTAACAAAAAATTGTGGAAATATATAAGTATTAAAATTTACTTAAAAAATCTTTTATTAGATAATGGATTTCCACCAAGTAAAAGCCGATTCAATCAAAAAATTTCTTATATCATCAAACCTATGGAAGCGTTGCGTTGTGATAGCGGCACGAAGACCTTCCAGAAAAGCTAACAAATTCACACCTCTAAAAACGAATGACCTACGGACAGAACGTAATCCAGGAAGCAAGTAGGTACTCCTGAAGTAGCTGGCGGTCGGTCATATGTACATCACAACAATGCTGTGACAACACTTTACATATTCTGGCACATAAATATTGGCTTTAACAAAAATATCAATTCTACAATCCATAGATAACCTTTGTAGAACAACGTTGTATTCCCTATTACAAATTATACAGCTGTTACTTGTAGTTTGAGTAAGAACATTGTTTAAAACCAAGCAAGTCGGGTCATTTTCTAAGGCTCTTATTTCTTCATGGACTGATCGCCTGAAGTTTAAACAAATCCGAGCGTCTTTATTAGCATTTCGAGCTGGCCTATTGGCCTCATCACGCTTCCGTATTGCTAGGTCACGGGTATTATCGTTTAGTCTTTGAAGCTGATTTAAACGTGAATATCTATTGCATATGAAGCAATGATCCATAGCGATATTTGAACATAATACAGTATATAGTTGAGATGTTTGCTTATTCGAATTGTTGAACAGAATGAAGTGGGGAGTTGACTTATGTCGTAAGGCTTAATACTCGGCTGCGCAAAATTCGCTTTTTTACAATTTTTCGACATTTTGACGTTTAATACACGTATTAAACGTCAAATTGTCGACGCAATATCAATAAAAGAGCGAATTTCGCCCAAGTGAGAATGAAGCTTCAAAATGGCAATATGCACATCCTCTAAAAGCAATACTCAAAAATTCTTCCTCAGCCTCGGTTTTGAGAATAAGAACCCTGGCCCTGATATACATTTAAACAAACAAGCTGTAAAAAATAGATACAAATACACCAAAATAATGAACAAATCAATCAATAAACGCTCTGTATAGATTAGAAAGGTTCTGGAATAGGAGAGCCTATAAAAGGCAAACTATGGGGGTTACGAAAGTTTTGCCATTTGGACTTTTATTCAGCACGTTATTTTATACAAAATTTGGAAATTTCACAGATTTTCACCGAAACCCAAAATCCCATGCATCCGGTGCGTGGTCCTTTCATAAACTAGAAGGAATTTGACAATACTGTAAACGAGTCTTGAATGGGAATCAAAAAGGGCAACTTTTTTCTAATTTAACCGACCTCGTAACTCTTACCGTTTCGGAGATAGCAATAGTGGTATCACTTAAAACGGACACCCTGTATACCGGGTGTTTTTCAAAAGCCGCTCACCCCTATAACTTTTTTATTTTTTCAAATAAACAAATGAAATTTGGTGTGCTTATTTATGACCCGGATGTGCATTATTTGACGTATTAAATTTTTTACTATCACTTCCGGTTTGACCGGAAATGACCCTAACCTCCTTATTTTAAATGAGACGCCAGGTATATTTTTCCTCATTTCAATAGAAAACTACATTACGAGTACAGTGACACCTCATTTGTCACTTTTTGACATTTCATCTCCAAATTATTTAAACTTTTACTTTTCAATCTAGATCGCCATGAATAAGTTAAAATGCTTAATTTTGCTCCTAGAAACATGGAAAAATTTGTTTTGAGCTCATTTTGAATTTTATATCCTCTACAGGCTCATTTAAAGTTAGTAGAAGCGCATTTTTGGAATTATATCAATTTTTTCAAATGGAAAGGGTATGGCTCATTAGCATATTCCGAGAGAGCATTTTCTAACAAACAATTCAGTACCACACAATCCCTAGTTTATTCAAATATTGAACTAAAATTTTCCAAAAATATTTAGAATGCTAGAAAAATTCTTAATTTGAGTGATGAACTAGCGATTGTGTGGTAATTGCTCGTTAGAAAACGCTCTTTTGGAACATGCTCATGAGCCATACCCTTTCCATTTGAAAAAATTGATATAATTCCAAAAATGCGCTTCTACTATCTTTAAATGAGTCTGTAGAGGATATAAAATACAAAATAAGATCAAAATAAATTTTCCCATGTTTCTAGGAGCAAAATTAGGAACTTTGACTTATTCATGGCGCTCTAGATTAAAAAGTAAAAATTTAAATAATTTGGTGATGAAATGTCAAAAAGTGACAAATGAGGTGTCATTGTACTCGTAATGTAGTTTTCTATTAAAATGAGGAGAAATATACCTAGCGTCTCATTTAAAATAAGAAAGTTAGGGTCACTTCCGGTCAAACCGGAAGTGATAGTAAAAAATTGAATATGCCAAATAATGCACATCCGGGTCATAAATAGACACACGAAATTCCATTTGTTTATCTGGAAAAATAAAAAAGTTATAGGGGTGAGCGGGTTTTGAAAAACACCCGGTATATAAAAGTCTCAGATAATTTAGTGAACAGCCTTTATTATTTTATATTTATATTTTATCATTTTTCATAAGATCTAAAGTTTGTTTTTTTTTAAAGATAAAAGTCAAAATGACATTATGTTGGCAATACAATGTAAAATTGTCAATGCTTTCAAATTTTTTATGTAGAAAAGGCTTGTGTGGCCAACATAGTTACTAAATTTGTGACTTGGGGAATTATCTTAAAAAAAAAACAGACTATACGAGTTCAATTATTCGCTAGCTAAGCTTATAGCATCGTACATAACCATTCCTCTTAATAAGTTGAATGAAATCACATTTTGTCCATTGACAATCTGTCTAGCTGGCACAGTCATTTTCTCTGGATGAAAGTTGCCGCTTTGCAATGCGTCCCTATAAATAGTCTTATCGTTTTCATAAGCAAAATGTCCGACTTGATGCCCGTTAACTTCAATGTCAATTGCAGCTGTCAAAGCTGGATCACTTACAGATGACTTACTTGCAGCTGCAAAAGCTACTCGGAGCGTTCTGTTTTTGTTGTCAAATTTGTCGTTATAGGCTATACTCCAGGTGCCAGGAGTTCTAGTTTGAGCATAGTACCAATCTTTATCTACGCGGCTCGATCCTATGGTAAATGTTTGATTTGCTGGTGGTACAAAGTGCCAGTAAAAGCTTCTATGTTCGTCACTGTAACGGTACTCGCTGGACTTTCGATTCGTTTCGCCCAAAGACCAGAGTATGTTGGTTGGTTCAGGAAGGAATAATGATCCAATATTTTGATTTTCTATTAATAAAAAAAAAGACATAAAGTAGACAGTTCAAATTTTTGAAAACATTCTCACCTCCAGCAATAATACTAATATTTTTTCTAGCCACATTTTCACTTGCTTGTCCAGCTAAAGGATAAGCAACGATTTGATAACTACCAGGACGAATATTGTTAATAATGAATCTGCCATTTACATCAGTCTCCTCGTGATACAAATATCCTAGAGTTTGTAAATCGAACTCTTGCTCAATTGAGCTATAGACTACCACCATTGCTTTAGTTTGTCCTTCTACCTCACCATAGACACTACCTCTAGTTTGGGGGTATTCCTTATCAACTAACCAACTGAAAAAAATACAATTAGTATTGAGTTGAACTAGAAAAAAATCAAAACCACTATGTTAGACAATTTTTGATCATAACCAAAAAATTCTTGACGACGGTACCTGTAAGGCCATCGTGCCTGTTCAATCAAAGCCTGTTTAGCGACACCTTCTCGAACCTGCTTCTCGGATCCTGTATTGATGTAAACCAAGTACGGTCCGTAGAATTTGGACCATCCCGGTGGCGCTTCCAAGCCTGGCGTTCCAAAGTGTCCGCTGTGGAAATAGTTGGCCATTAACGAGTCATGGTGCACAAGGAGATCTTGTTTCAAGGGTCCACCTGAATGATATTCACGGCTTGCGGAGATTATCCAACCACCAAACCCACCTGATAATGGAAATACAGTTAACTTTGCTTAACCATATTTTTTCCTTCTAATATTGTTATCGCTATCAATTCTTATAGGTTTAGGTAGGTTAGCAGCTGGGAATTGAAGCCAGATTTTTTCAAAGTATCAGATTTTGGTATAAATTGCTATTATCGGTCTGATTCTGCAACGGTACTAGGTTAGATAAATCGAGAAGAGCAATGGAAAAAATTATTTTACTGAATATTCAAAGATTGGCTTATTAAATGTTGTAACTAGTGAACATAATCTATTGGATATTGCAACAAGAGGATGTTTGAGGAAATAAACTAGGTAGTGGAACTTGGTGGAAGGGACCTTTGTGGCCTAGAAAACCACTAGTTAAGTCACCCACCACTGTTTATTTCGAAAATTTCCACTTGATATTTGTCCAAGAGCGACAATATTGTTAGTCTAGTCGGATGAGTGATGAGATTTCCCTCAAACTGTAAGCAGTAGCAGAAATATGGCATCTTGGATAGCACAGGAGTCAGAGTTTGTTTCAACAGTACTATAACAGGAAAGTTGTCCCTTTTTGATACGTGATGAGCAGGTATATAATATTTCAGATGCTGAAAGTTTGTGTCTACCTTATGTTCTCTGTCTGAGACAGACGTTGTCATACGACTTATACGAACCGAATGGCTGAAGAATTGTTAAATTAGTATATTTTACATGATCATTTTTGTTGACCCGGCTCAGATATAGGAGGACAATAAAGTGGGTGGTATAAAGCATTTGAGCAATGCCCTTCTAGTTACTTTGGTATGTATCAAATCATTCTCAAATTCGTTGCGACGTTTCAAAGCGAGTCGACCATCTATACTTATATTGGTACCCACCAGTTTTGTTGGTGGTGAAAATGCGTTTCAGACAATAAATTTGTAAATTCTAGCCCTTTGACTTATGTCGGAAGATGGTTATGGTGTGTCCAGAATACGGACATAAACATAACTTCTGAAGCTGAGAAAAACACTACTGAAAAGAAGATTCTGTAGATAATACTTGAAGCAACTGAGGTCATTTTCTAAATAATTTCTATCAAGGAACACAGACAAGTCAAATTATTGTTACTTGTTGATATAGTTTTTGTGAGTGATGATAACCAGGATAGAATTGACTGGGTTATGTGAAGAAATTCTAAGCTTCTTCCATACAACAAATATGTCCACTAGAAATTGGTGAGGAATAATTCGTGTACCTACCCCAGAATGTTCGGGAAAAACAAAAAAAAAGACAGAATGGTACCTTGACGGAGGCGACCAGAAAAGTATACTTATTTGAGTCACTGTATATTCAATAGGTACATTGAATTCCAATTAGGCTGTAGCCATTCCCAGTTTACTGGAAAATATTACCTGAAATATAATAATTCTCACCTCCATAAACACCAAACCAAGGTGTTTCCCTGATATACCCACAAAAATCATATTTTGACCAATAAGTCCCATCCGCCAATTGCCATGTGGTATCCTGAATGGTAGGTCTACCTGTTAAATTGGGCGTAATACCGCTTTCCACAATATTGGTTACTTTTGGCATCAGATTATGATCGAACCTGTAAACAGTTCTAAATTCCCCCAAACCTATTGTGGCATTTGTGGGGTTGGAAACTTTGATGTATTGATAGAGACCGCTCACGTTTGATAATACAACTATAAGTAATCAAAATGGACATTAGCTAATTATCAATAATAAATATAAATAAATAATAATATAATAATCAAATACTTTACCTAAATGAAACTCAATATACAAACTCCCAAGAGAAGCTTCCTGTATGAAACTAAAATGCACCTTTTCACTTGAATCTTCAATAACTTCATACTTGGATGGATGAAAAGATCCTTTTCCGCCGTCCCAATCCAAATACCAAGTCTGCGTATTCTTGTCAATATTGTCAATTAAATTAACATTATTTTTGTAAACCGATTGAGCTTTGGCATTTTTGTGGAAAGTTATATTAAAAAGGCTATTGCCTAAAGTAACATCACCAGAACTATTGTTTAGATTTATGAATGACCCGTTTTCTGCACTAATTGCAGTAACTGATATAATTATTAAAACGACTAATTTGCTCATTTTTGCATTTGATTGTTTTAATCGAAAATGATAATGAGCTATAGTACGAAACGAGCCTGTATTTATTGTTTATTTAAAGTGGATTAAAATAAGTAGGTACGTACCTACTTACTTTAGATATGAATTTTAAATAAATGCATTTCTAAATGATATCTGAACTATGCCTCCCATTGTTTGCACGAGGCAAAATGAATAGCATTATCCTAGATACAACCTTGATCCTAGATCATGGGTGATACCGATGATTGATTGGAATTTGGTTTGGCCCTATTCGGACAATTTTGTGAGATTTTTAGTTCAACCTACTTGTCCGTTTTTTTCAGGATGTCGTCAATTATTTCGGAATGAAAATCTTCAATTTTTAATGCCAGAATAAATTTCTGATGCTGTTAGGAGGTTTGGCTAAGATTTGTGAGGTAGAAGTTTTGCGATTTCATCGTCCGAAGGAGTATTTCCGTCATCGGAACAAGGTCTTTTTTCGCTAGTTGATGGTCTATTGTAAACTTAGTCATTACTGGATGCCAAAATAGAGATTTTCGATTGAATCTTTTGATATAATAAATTTTGATTCTTGAATAGACATTTGCGTTATTAATTGCTTTTCCTGGTTTCTATTCGATTTTTGGCGAAATTGTTGTATATCCCGAACTTGGTATAGAGTTATCTTTCTGAATAATTCTGAATATCTTGTGTTGACACCGCAGAAAGTCCCAGACGCGTGAGTGTCATAGCCATCTTTTGCTACAGCGTTCTTGAATAGAACTAGCTGCTAAGATAAAATTTCAAAATTTGGATACATAAGAATGGGGCCAGTAATACGTGCCTCTCTGATGAACTCATAGAAGATTAAAGCAAAACTTTCAATCAGACCCCAACGAATAACTAAACACAAACGTCCTTCTGATTAAAAGTTTGAAAAATACTTTAAATACATATAGTATTTCTATTACCTATGTAAATGAAAATTATACCATCAGAAAGGAAAAACATGTCTGATGATGGTTGATTAAACCGAAACGTAACTTAAAATCAATCAATGTGTTTCATTAACCGAAGTGCAGGAAAAATTATTCAAAAAAAAAACATAACTATATAACCAGAATAAGCATAATAACTTATCTATTAGTCCTTCAATTCATCCCAGTTTGAGATAGCCCCCTTACTAAAAAATTTACAGATTAAAAACTTATAGATTAAACAACAAAATTAACTCGAATGGAATTTCATTAAATATTCATATATTATATTATTATCACAAGACCTTTATTTTATCGATTAAAAAACTATCTTGAGCATGTTTCTGCGTGAAAAATCGTTGAATGCATAACTTAATTAAAGTTTATTTTAAAGTTATTGTGCATGAAACTATTTGCCAAAAAGAAAAATCATGCATAAATATTTGGATAGTTTAATTCATTTAAATTTATAGGTCGGGTGGTAAACGGCTGGAATATTTCCTGAATAATTAGGATCAAAACCAACAAATAAGAGTTCGATTTATTATAAAATATCATAATATTTCTATCCAAATTCTGTCAAAAAAGGTTAACAAAAATTTAATCGTGATTGAACGGGCTCTAGTGACGACGTTGTTTGATCGGTCTATTCCATAATGAGGGTAATATTCATATATTATGTCACAAGACCTTTAAATTCAGTCGATTAAACTATCCAACCTATTTTGAGCATGATTGGAAAATAGTTGAATGCACAATAGCCCGAGACCGCGCAGCGCTCGAGGGCTTTTATTTAAAAGTTATTGTGCATGAAACTATTTGCGAAAAAGCAAAATATTGCAAAAAATATTTGGATAGTTTAATCCATTTAAATTTATAGTTCGAGTGGTATACGGCTAGATTATTTCCTGAATAATTAGGATTGAATTGTTGGCGTCAATCCTATCCAAAGAGTTCTATTTATTATAAAATGTCAGAATATTTCTATCAAAATTCTGTCAAAAAAGGTAAACAAAAATTTAATCGCTGATAAACAAGGTCTTGTGAAATAATCACTTATTTAAAAAAAAAATCATTCAAAAAATGACGTTGTCTGATGGGTCTATTTCATAATGAATGAAATAATCGCTGATAAACAAGGTCTTGTGCAATAATCACCTATTTAAACATACTATATTCAAAAAATGACGTTGTCTGATTGGTCTATTTTATAATGAATGAAATATTCAATTAGATAGGTTAAAGGCATGATTTAGGGCCGGTATTATAATGTCCGGTTGAACAAACCTTGGGTTCAAACCTGATAGATAGGGACTTTTTAGTGAAGTCTGAGCGCTGAATGTGAATATGGGTGATTTTAATGCCTGCTAGGGAATTCTGTAATTCTCGTTTATATTGCGAAACTAAGCGAAAGCTAAGCTAAACCATAGCGAAGTCGACTTATGTTGATATTCTATAAGGTCTTCTTTTTTTTTTACGGATATGCGCACTCGCAAGGAAATGTCCTATCGCGCTCGAGAAGCGGCAAGTGCGCGGAAATGTCGGTGTATGTTGGTCTTGAAACGGTTCAGGTTGTAACCTGCAGGGAAAACCGTCGCAGGGAGTTTATTCCACAGCGATGCTGTTCTCCAGAGATATGAATTCTGATATAATGAGGTTCTTGGTGCCTCTAGTTTGACAGTAAATTCATGGTTACCGTCTGTTTGACGGGTTCGCCTGGTAGGTGCTACTCTCGGTGGAATCATACGTGCCAACTCTTCAGAGCATTTTCCGTGATAGTACCTGTAGAAGAGAGATAAATCGCCCACAGATCTGCGATGTTCGAGACCATCCAAGTTACGAGTAAGTGCGGGGTCATTGATCAGCTTGATAGCTCGTTCTTGCACGGTATTCAAAAGCATTAAGGTATGTTTGGGTGCTGCACTCCATATATGTGAGCAGTACTCCATAGTTGGTCGAATCTGGGCTTTGTAGAGTGTCAGCAATTGGCTTGGTGTGTACAGATGTCTTGTACGAAATAGCACCCCCAGCTTTTGGGAGGCCCTTTTAGCAATATCTGCCACGTGACTGTGCCAAGACATGTTGGTCTCTGCAGTAACCCCCAAGATGTTCAACTGACTCTGTAATGTGACAGCACTTCCAGATAGCATGATGTTTGGCTCACCGGTGCTGGTCTTTTTTGAAAACAGAGCTGCTTGGGTTTTCTGCGCGTTGAACTGTACAAGGTTTTTGTTACCCCAGTCCTCTATTATCTCCAGGTCGTTATTTATCTGCGATATTTGAGTTAGTCTAAGATGATGGAATTCACGTGCGGAAAGACCTGTGGGTGGTATGAGTGAGGAGACTACATTGCCATCGTCTGCAAAGCAATAAAGTGGATTTACTGTTTTATCTATGAGGTCATTTATGTAAATCAGGGAAAGAGTTGGCGAAAGGATTGCTCCCTGTGGCACACCAGCATTTATTTGGTAAGAGTTTGACTTCTGGCCATCCAGTGCAACATAAATGGATCTGTCCTTTAGGTAACTTTCAAACCAAGTGCAAAGTTTCGGCGATAATCCCATTGCTTTGAGCTTGTTGAGCATATAAGGTCTTCGCTTCGCTTTCGCTTCGTTTTCCTATTATCACACGACAAAATACGAGTTTAAACGACGTATGGTTAAATAATTATGGCAACATTGTAGATATATGAGCCCAAAGCAAAAACCGTAAAAAAAGAATAGAAAATCAAAAGGAACAAGGAACATACCCCAAATTTGTATTGGATTTTGAAAATTTGAAACTTCAATGACATAATTAATCATTCCTATTTTTCTTTCTCTAATATTTATATTGCATTTCTCAGATTATTGTGTGATAAAAATATTGCCGGTACAATTTGTTGTACATGGAGAACTCAAGCGAAGAAATGAATTTAGGTTTAACGCGAGGGGTGTAAAACGCTTTAGTGCAACCAAAATTAACAAATTTTCTATAAAATAGTATATTGTTTTATTAGGAGTAAAAGTGATACTTTTTGTGGCGAGACTAAATGTTTGACAGCCGAACGTAGTGAGGCCGACAATTTTAGACGAGCCACAGAAAGTTCTTTTTTCCGAATGAAACATGCGATTTTTTCCGCAAACGGTGTTCAATGCGATGAAATCTAGGAAATTTCTGTGACGTCACTTTTTGGTCCGGCCGTGAGCGTACAAAAAAGTACTTTTTTGTACGCTAACGGAACGCGCGGACAAAAAAGTAACCAAAAAAATGACGTCTGTGAAGTCAAACTTCAACATTAAGAATTGAGGTTAAAAAAGTCGTCATTTTTTAACGTTTGCGGAAAAATTAGTTTATATATCCTTTATACGGTTGGTTTTGTATCAATTCAAGTGCGGATATTGACGTTTTTTGCCTTAGTAAGTGAATATTCACAATTTTATAAAAAAAACCCTACCATTACACTGCGGCGGAATAATAAGAATAGAGATTTGTTATTGAGCCGCCGCCTAGCAAAAGGCTGCGCAATAATGAGATTAACAATCCAACCTGGCAGAATAAAACAATATGGCGGCAATAGACAAGCAGTTTTTTTTTTAATTTAAATTATTTATAAGTCTAGAATGACTCGCTCCGCT